CAATTTCTGTATGTATTTGTTTCCAGAAAATGTTAAATTTCAAACGACTCCAGAAAACATTTTTACATCTGTATTGTATGTGGTAACCAGAACAGTCTCAGCGTAGTCTCAGATATTCAGCGTCTTAAAGTGTTAAAGTGACACTTATATAGTGTCCTCTCATTGAAGTGGTCTGGGTGCAGTGTCCCAGGTCCCTTAACCCTGCAAAGGTAATTATTGCAATTTTTTTATAAACTGCAAGAATTATCTTCATGGGTTAACTCCTGCTACAGTAGCGATCTTTTAGACAGCCACTAGAGACACTTCCGTATCGTTGGGCGACTTTTGGTTGCCTAACTGACGCTCAACATCCTCACGCAATGCATGAGGACTTCAAGCGTCACTGGAATCCCTATGGGAAAGCATTGTATAATTCTTTCCTATGAGGAAATCCTAATGCAAGCATATGCGCACAGTAGGTCCACAGTGGAGTAGCGGAGGCGGACCCAATCCAGCGCCGACAGACATAGACGCTGATTTTTAACCCCTTCTGCACTGAAATGGGGAGGTTGCAATATAAAGAGCTATAGTGCCAGGAAAACACCTTTGTTTTCCTGGCACTATAGTTTCCCTTTGAGAGATAAAAGTGTATACCAGTACTCCAGAAAATGAGAGAAAATTTTAATTCTACTTTTTGTTGGCATTTTAATCCTTTAGATAACCGGGATCTGCTTTAGTTTTTATGCTCCCTTTGGCAGGGAGTAATATAATCAAGGAGTGATATGATGCACCCAGCTGAAAGCCTCTCCTCCAGACATACCAGAGGATATTGTTTTTTTTTCATTTTGCCTTCTATCAAGGGGGGCTAAACACTGGGCAGAGATATTCAAATAAAAATATTCTCAATGCTGTAATTAATCAATCACAGAATGAAGTCACTAAATAAATGTATAATGTCATGTATCACAGCCGGTCCCATGAGTGTTTTCCAATCTTCCACACAGTGTTTACAAAAACCTTAGAATGGACTAATTAGATTAAAAAATGCACCCTTTGCCTCAGATCATGCTTTGCTTACAGGGTGAAATCCTATCATGTGTAAAAAAATAGACCGTAAAAATACAAATGCAAGAATATAGAGCTTTAATTGTTCATTGTTTTTAAATCTTCTAATGTGAAATGTGATGGATTCTAAACTAACAAACCCCCCCTTTTTTTTTTTTTCATGTAAATGCCAGCATCAAGCAGTATCCTTCCTGCTGGCAGAGATGGCGATGAAGGTGGAGCTTGCTAGATTGGCCTATCAGAGGGCCGCATGGGAAGTGGATTCTGGGAGAAGGAACACGTACTACGCATCTATTGCCAAAGCCTATGCTGGGGACATTGCAAACCAGGTGGCCTCCGATGCCGTCCAAGTGTTTGGAGGAAATGGGTTTAACAGTGAATACCCAGTGGAAAAGCTAATGAGAGATGCTAAAATTTACCAGGTAAGAGCAATAATTACATTGTGAGTTAAAATCTGCAAAACAAAAGCAGCTCAGAATTATCAATGTATTCCAGTATATAATAACTCATTCAATGTAATAGTGGTTGTTTTATAGCTAGCTGGGCTATGCCTTTTGTGGTTTCATTAGACATGCAGCTATTTAGCCTGCAGGTGGCACCCTGACGTAATGCACGGATAAGAGGCTGGCTCAGACAATGCAGGTCTTCACACATTCAGGACCAACTGAACCAATGTTTGCTTAGATAGTGCTGGGTATATACATACAGGAAAGATGTAGCATACAATATGTTGAGGTCACTGCTGACACTTATATGGTTAAACATAATTTGGTGTTCTATTTTCTGTGATTGCCTAGACAGTGGTTGCTAAACAAGGATTTATCGACCCACAATGGTTTAGGGATTTCTAAATTTTGTTATGATGGGAACATTAATAAAGCCTGTAGAAAGTGACACAGTGTGTAAATGAGACCTATAAATAAGTTCAACAAGATGTAGTGAGGGCATTGTTCAAAACCACTTACAGTCTAAAGGAATTGCTGCATTGAACTATGTGTCATTCTTTGTTTCAGATCTATGAAGGCACAGCTCAGATACAGAGAGTCATCATTGCTCGTGAGCACTTAAACAGGCAAAAAGAATGAATCCTGCTATGGAGTTCATAACGACTAATTTATCCATGATTGCTGATAAGATGCCTTAATCACAAGATTTCTTGATGACAATACCCAAAGATTTCATTAGAATATAAACTAGTGGTGGTAACTCTTTTTTGGTATTGCGAATGTTTGGCACATAAAGCATTACTGCTCCTTGTAGAAAAAAATGTGTAAAATACAGTGGCTGCATTTTATGTTATAATCTAATGAATTGCTTCTTTTTACCTCCTTTTTAAATGAGAAATTGAATCCATCCCAGAAGAATAAACATTTTTCAGAAATCAGAGTCTGTCATTATGTTCTATATCATGAAAATCTATTTAATTTTTTTCCTATTCATTAAAAATGCTCCATGCTGTTTTATCTGATAGTTTTTCACTTCTGGTTTCTGTCCTTGCCAACTGTCTCATGGTGAGGGGACCCACATGTGTTTATTTCTCCTTCACTGTGTGTTCCACATAGTAAAATGTATTCAGCAATTAGAGGAGTTGGCTATGGTGAAAGTAAATGATTTCATATATCGCCTGAATTTATTTTTGAACAATGCTGTCTGATGCCTGTTTGGCCTAACTCCTCCTGTTTCTGCTCCACCCAAATTATGTGATGAGCTGTGTATTCATTATAAAAGATAATTGAGAGCATTACTTATGAAATGATCAATGGAGCACTATTAGGGTATTGTGTGTTTTTTGATAGATATATAGATATATATATATATATATATATATATATATATATATATATATATATATATATATATATATATATATATATATATATATATATATATATATTTTAAATCGAAAGCATGTAAAATGTGTATCTATATTCCCTGGGTTATTTACTAAAGTAAGAATTGCAAGAAAATCAAAGTGAATTTCAAATTTAAAGTAGAACAAATTCACCCCCACCCCAAATGAGTATTTCATAAACATAGAATCTTTATAAAATACTCAGAATGACTGTATTGGAATTTCACTAAAATTTGTTTTGAAATGGTACACCATATGATTACGAAACGTTCTCCTACGCAGAGGAGTGTAAAGTAGTAATTTGTGGTATTTAGTAATAGTTTGTGTCATTGTAGCCCCTATATTTTAAATTTGTTAGTTTTGTTGTGCTTGATATACATAAAGGTTGCACAGTAAACACTAGGCAGATTACTATGAGATACTGAGGCAGAGTAAGGTAGCGCCATATACATTAGTTCCAGCACATTTTTCAGCCTAGTGCAGATTTGGTCAGGCATTAAAACATAAGATAAACAAACAGGACTGTGTACAGTAGACAATAATAAAACAAGAGATATTGACATGAAACCGAACAGCATAAAAGAGTGTGCTCACTGGCGTAGTGAGATCTGAACACCAGCATACTTGCCAGTTATCATTTTATATGAAAAGTGCCTGCCATCATGTAGTGAGGTAACCGTCTGAGGCTGGTTCAGGTAGCAGTGAGATCTATGGGGCACCTTGCTGCTGTATGTAGGTGTTATTAAAGTTCCCCTATATTTGGGTCCTTGGTCTGCAAAGCCAACAGTCTGTCACCTGAGGGTTGTATCTTTCAGGTAGTTCGGTATGAGATCTCTGTCATCTGGCTCACTCCATCCCCACTTATAGCGTTTGCCTCCTCGGAGTCGTGGCTGGGCTCCGGTCAGGCGGCTCCCGGCTTTGGCTGTTGATTCTGTCAAGGGGGTGCGAAGAATTGTATTATGAGCGAAGGGAGAGGGAAGTGGGGGGGAGATGGGAGGAATGAGCGAGAAAGAAGAGGGGAAATAGGGGGGGGTTGGACCATTTGCCTTTCCGTAGTTCGGTGAGGTCAACTGAGGATATGGAGGGGAGGAGTTTGGACCATTAGCTATTTAGTGTTCTGGCGAAGTCAGCTGAGGATAGGAACTCCAGCCAGTAGAACCATCATTGGGTGTGTCTATCTTTCACCTTGACCTTGGTAGCTTTCAGGTCCTCTAATTTCCTGGCATCCTCTACTTCTTCCACCCACTGTGTAACCTATGCCACGTTCAGAAATCTTGGTTGCCCCGTATGGGGAGTAAGCGGCTCGGTTCCATTGTCATGTAATGTTAGGGTCCATGACTGTGCCAGAGGCGTAGCATCACTGTGATGAACAGGTTCAGGGCTTCTTCCGCCTTTGCTATCAATCCATGGTAGGGCTCTGAGGTCCCCTCGTATACTGTCTGCCTCCAGGCGCACCCACTCCTTGTCTTCTCTTGAGGCCATCCAGCTGATTAGCCTCGAAGTGAGCCATCAGGTAGTAGTTTTCTAAGTCCGGCAGTGCCAATCCTCTCAATTTGGGAAGTGTCAGTTGGGAGTGTGCCACTCTCTGCGATCTGCCTTTCCATATAAATGTCTGGACTTCTGATTTGAGTGTCTAGAAGAATGGTTATGGTGCTAGAATTGGTACCGTCTGGAACACAAGCAGTAGTTGGGGCAACAGTGTCATTTTCACAGCGTTGACTCGGACCACCCAGGATATGCATCAGGTGTTGCATTGTTGCAGCTCTTACATGGCTTTCCGCAGTATGGATTAAAAGTTTTGCGTAAACAGGTCTGTCGGGTCCCTGGTCAGCCAGACCCTGAGGTAGCGCATCTTTGTTTCACAGTGTTGGAATGGGAATTGGTTTGCTAGAGTTCGGTGCCGCTCACGATCAGCAGTCAGGTCTAGGAGTTCTGATTTGGTATAATTGATGCGGAGATTGGAGATCGGCTGTATTCCTTGAAATCCTCCATGATGTGGCCGAGTGAGTCGGCTGGGTTCATGATTACAAAAAGCAGGTTGTCCGCGTAGGCCAGGACTTTGTGTTGTGTCTTCCCTACATGCATGCTTCGGATGATCAGATTGCTCTGTATTCGGCACAGGAATGGCTCCAGCGTCAATGCGAAGAGGAGTGGGGACAAGGGACAGCCCTTGCGTGTCCCATTTGTGATTTGGAGTGGGTCCGACAGCACTCTGTTTATTCTCAGTATTGCAGATGGGTTGGTGTACAGGGCCAAGATCCAGGACAGGAATTTCGGGCCCATGCCTAGGGTATGCAAGACGTTGAACATGAGCTACTGTTTTCAGTGTCTGTCGACAGGAGTACCCCTGGGTGCCACCCCGACATGCCAGTGCAATCAAGTTCAATGCCGTGATGGTGTCATCCCTACCCGGGATGAATCATGTTTGGTCCAACTTGATGAAGGTCAGCAGCATTGGGGAGATTCGGTTGGCCGGGATCTTGGAGAGGACTTTTCACTGAAATTTGAATTTCACAATCAAAAGATCTACTGAGACAAATTATGGACTACTTTTTTTTTCTCTGTATTTCTCCTCTACCTGACAAAGCTTGACAGGCAGGGCTACCATTGTCAAGATTTGCCATTTCCCTCAACTGCCACCAGTGACGTCTGTATGTGCAACTAGCTATTTCTATGGAGGATAATGTGGCTTGACACCTCAATGTTGTACGCTCGCGCATGAGAGTATAGCTCTAACGTCTGCTCCTGGCAGCTGAAGCGCCAGAAGCCGAAGAGGAGCGGCGGAATGCGGTACCCGCAAGTGATAGGTTCAGGCACTTGCGTACATACCGCGGTCGCAGCTGCGTCCGGACCTGTCACCCCAGAGGGCCCGGCTGCCCTGCAGACCTCGGTGACCGGGTGCCCGCCTGCACGTCACTCCTCCCAACTAACACACACAGCCCGCGTGGGAGGAAGAACAGGAAATCAGAGTGGGAATTCTGACTCCCATCAACCTGAGCCACCACTGGACCCCAGGGAAAGTCACCCTCCTGCACTTAAAATGTAGGAAACAGGAGGGTGGCTTAAATATTATGTGTGTGTGTGTTTGTTTGTATGTATGTCTTGTGTGTGTCTATCTGACTATGTATATGTGTCTTGTCTGTTTGTATGTGTCTTTGTATGTATCTATGTTTGTTGTGTGTGTCTTGTGTCTATTTTTTATGTATGTGTATGTCTTGTCTGTATGTATTTGTGCCTGTCTGTTTGTATGTATGTATGTGTCTGTAAGTATCTGTCTGTGTGTCTCTGTATGTGTGTGTGTGTGTCTGGCGGGGGGAAGAAGGAGGAGTGTGGTGGAATCTCGGTAAAAATAAATTTAGTAGGCCGAGATTACCACGTGGCATGTGTACGTGCATATGCTGACGTATCGATCAGTTGGTTGCACGAGGCAAGATATGATCAGTAGTGTACGGAGCATGTGCAAGAATACAGGATGTAGTATTCCCCTCCTCCATTGTGCTGGACAAGCCATGCGGTCAAGCAGGAAGTTAATTCTTATTTGTAATGATTGGTCAAGAGAATGTGCGGGTGGAGCTTAATATGGGAGGAGTTATGTGCCTATATAGGGAGCCTGCACTATTGTTCAGGGCTCAGAACTTGCTGTATTTTTGGTGACATTAGTCCCTCTGAGTCCCGATCGGTGATCCAATAAAGAATCTCTTCCTTCCTGAAGAAACCTGTGTCCATCTCTCTGTGCTTTGCTTCCGTCAGTTTCTCCGGTATCATTTGGTGCATTGGCCGGGAAGCTCATCGTTCAACGGTAGCTGAGAGGCAGAGGCGTGAGACGGTCTATCTTTGCCCACGTTCTCTACGGCTGCACCCCTGAACTTCTGCGTGGACCTCCCTTCGTCTCGGCGCCACTGGTCTGTTGTCCAGGAGATCATCGGCCTCTACGTAAGAAGTGCTGGGGTGTCCCCGTCGATGAGTGTGAACTCAGGTTCAGGAACGAGGAGGTAAGACAACTGCTGTTTTAGACGGCAGACCCACTAGGGGTATACCGATTGTGCGGTAGGCCCAAAAGGGGTTTAAATCTGTGTATGGAATCTGCCCCCTCTGTCGGAGGGAAGGAGCGAAGGCGCACCGCTCGATCGAACGCTCTTTAGTAAGACCGTTTGATCTGGTTAGTCAGGCGGGGTCCTGTGTAAATAGCCCTAGCCGGACACCGGTGTCTTGTCTAGACTAGCGTTCTAGGGTGTATATTACGTTCGCTAGGTCGGAGGGACCGGGAGACTAAGCGGCGCCTGTGTAAATTCGGTTCGCTAGCTCTCAACCTATCTTGGCTAAGTGGGAAGGCGTGTAAATTTGGAACCCACTAGACTTTTGATAGAGTAAATAGACTAGAAGGGCAATTTTGTAAATTTCGCCCTCTAGTTCGCTATATGTGGTGCTTGGGCAGTGTGGCTAACCAAAACGGGTGTATATAGTTTTAGGTAGTCCATTCAAGGTACTGGCCAATAGTTTAGTTGGGATTGTAAATGTGTTAAAGATTGTTAGTAAAGTGTATATCTTGTTAGATAGCGCGAGCTCAGCCGTCTAGCGAGAGTGTTAATAGTGTGTTGCTGTATCATAGTGCACGGTACCATAACCCTGTATATTTACTGACACTGTATATAAGTACTAATCATTGTCGTCTATTGCATGTTTAACACCGTAACCACTAATAATTGTATTGTGACCTTAAATTGTGCTTTGACCTATGCTAACCGTACTGTAACCGATACTAGTAAAAGACGATGTTACTGGGGTGTGTTATAGACGGGTAATTCATATATAGAGAATTATAGCGTGGGTGACTGTATAGTTTCGCCAAAGGGCATAATATTGATTATTTAGTGACTGGTGTAACAGCTGTGTGTGTACGGGAATTCCCTGAGTGATTATTGTGTTATTGTGTACGTTTCACTCGGTAACTGTACCACGTGGTGCTGTTGCCAGAGGAAACGGGTGTGACTGTTGAATAAGAACGCGTGCATAGTATTCGTTGTCAACGACGTTCCATTGATAAGTATGGGCGCGTCAGAGTCAACGATTTCGGATCCCTTAGGTTGTATGGTAAAAATTTTAAAAAGGGATTCAAAACATGTGATTTTGGGGTTAAAATGTCTCCTGTACGTTTGGTCACTTTGTGCACTAGGGAGTGGCCTATTTTGGTTGCGGCATGGCCGCCGCGTGGCAGTTTGGATCCAACCCTGGTACAGCGTGTACACGTGGCTGTATCAGGTAGGCCTGAACTTTACGGACAGTTTCCATACATTGATTGTTGGGGGCAGGCCGTAAACGACTCGCCAAAATGGATCCGGATATGCCACGAGGAGCAATGTCGCCTCATGGTGGCCAGGACTTGTTTGTCCACTAGGACTGGTGTTAGGCCCATTTTGGACACGCCCCCTGAGTCCGAGATCCCTTTGCCGCCTCCTTACTTTCCTTTAAGAGGAAGTGACGCGAATGCAGGAAGCTCTGCACCCCTTCCCCTATTGCCCCCATCCACTTCCGCTTCCTCCTCCAGTACAGAATCCACCCCCCCTCGTATTAAAACTCCCCTTCCGGAACCAGGACCAACCCCCATTAGATCTGAATATCCTGATTTGGCGCCACTTCAAACTTCCGGTCAAGCTTCTTCTAGCTCGGCTCGGAGTATACTATTCACTAACTTTTCCCAAAATCAAGTTCCCACATCCTCATGCCCTATTACCTCTCGACCGGAACCTTTAACTGACGCCCCTCCACGTAGCCCCATACTAACCCGACAACTGACCGGTACCCAACAATTAAAACATTATCAGATGCCTCTTCGTCTGAATCCTGGGTCAGCCTATATCGATGCCGCAGGTCAAATGGCACATGCTGACTCAGTCTTCGTATATGTCCCGTTCACGACTACCGATCTCTTGAATTGGAAGACCCACAATTCCTCGTACACTGAGAAACCACAAGCTATGACCGATCTGTTCACCTCGATAGTTCAGACACATAACCCGACATGGGCTGATTGCCAGCAGTTATTAATGACATTGTTCAATAATGAGGAAAGGACAAGGATTAACCAAGCGGCCATTAAGGCGCTAGAGGAGAGAGCCCGTGCTTTAAATCAAGCCAATCCGGCAGCATGGGCCGCAACACATTACCCTAACACCGATCCTGACTGGAATGTAAATGGCGCAGATATGGCTCAACTTAAAGCCTATAGAGATGCTATAATTGCTGGCATGAAAGCCGGAGGGAAGAAAGCTATTAACATGTCGAAGACAGTTGAGGTGATTCAGAAAAGTGATGAAGCGCCCAGTGTCTTTTATGACCGATTATTGGAGGCATACCGCTTGTATACCCCCTTTAATCCGGAAGGCGCTGATAATTCCCGAATGGTAAACTCCGCCTTTGTCAGCCAAGCTTACGGAGATATTAAGCGCAAGCTACAGAAATTAGAAGGGTTTGCAGGTATGTCTATCACCCAACTAATGGAGGTAGAGAACAAAGTATATATGAATAGGGAAACAGAAAGTAAGAAAGAGGAAGAGCGCAAGATGCGTAGAAAGGCAGATATGCTAGCGGTAGCGATCGCAGGCGTAGATAGACGGGGCCCAGATAGAAGCGATGGTAGATGGAATAGAGGCAACTTTGGTAGTCAGTCTCTTGGCATTACTGTAAGAGAAGAAGAGCATTGGAGAGCGAGTGTCGCAAAAGAAACAGTATAGAGAACTTACCAGGGCAGGGTAGAAACTTTAGAAGGCAG